ATGGCAAGAGCCAAGTCTAAGCGAGCGCGGTTCAGGTCAGGCGTTAGGAAAGTACTTGTAAGCAGCTGGGCTGAGCCCTTTGCGACTTGCGGTCACCCCGGCTTGAAATACGGGGTTAAAGGAGGAGCTTCCAAACCCGGTCAGACCCGCCCCGAGCAGCCGTCCCCATCCCCGAGCCATCCCCATCGCCTGGGTGTCCCCATCGCCTCCCCGTCCCCTGGATGTCCCCGTCCCCTCGCCGTCCCCATCTCTCTGTTCTGTAGGTGTTAACCGAATACCTCCCGTAAGGTGTGTTCCTGCTGCAGAACAAACGTTGAGCACAAATGCTGAGCAGTAGAGCAGCTCATCACTTGTAGTTTTAGAGAAACTATTAAAGTTTCTGATTGCTGCAATAAAAAAATCAAAAACAAAAAAGAAAGGCACAGTGTAAATGATCTGTTTCAGGTGGTCTGTACCTGCTGGAAAAACTGACAGCCGGGGGCTTTTAAGCAGAGTAGGAATCCTCACCACCTTGCTTTACTGTATCTTCCTTATAAGTATTTTCTTTTTCTCACCTAAAAAAAAATCCCTTTTGCATTATAGACTCCTTGTATAGTCCTGAAGCTGTTGTAGAAAATAACCTTTTTTAAAGGAACGTGGCATTATTGTTGCTATTTTGGTTTATTAGATCCATTTTTATGCTAAAGGTTGGATTTTAAATACAAGTCCACCAACTTATTAAGGATACTTTTTTCACTTTATATACTTTTTTCACTTTGTGTGGAAGAAATATTAAAATAACCCAATTTACCTTCTGGCTAAACTGCACGTGAGGTAACCTCGCATTGTATAAATCTACAAATGTGAAGCTCATCAAATAATTTGCCTACTTTTTGACAAACTCAATTTCAGAATTGAAATTCTTAGGTTTTGGATGTTCTTTAATTTATTTCTTTATTTTTTTTAGGAAACGTTACATCCAAGAAATCTTATCCCAGAGCTTTGTAGACTGTTTTATGGTTTAGGCTGGGTAACAGGAACTGGAGGAGGAATCAGCTTGAAGCATGGGTGAGTAAAGATGGAAAGCAGAGAGCATTATGGTTAGAGAGAGGGTTTCTGTATTTAGGAGTTGGTGAGGGCATTTCCATCCCTTGAAAAATGTTTGAAAGTCAGGAGTAAGCAAGGAGGCAGAGGGGGAAATGAACAGCACGCCGAATTTAACAGGATGCAAGGGAGGTGGCTGGTCTGGATTAATCCTTGCAGTCCCTTCAGGTGAGAGTGCCAGCTTCAGAGAGTGATTTTTTTTTTCCCCCTGTCCTTTTCCTATCTTTGTTTAAGGTAGATGAATTGTCTTTAAGGAACAGTGCATTCTCCCTTTTTCATTTCATCGGCCATGGAATTCAGAGTGGGTTACACCAGGCACGCAGCTCTCAGACGCCCGTGGTGAGATGAGATGAATCCCACTGTAGACATTTTGCAGCCAAGACGTTTCCTTTACGAAGGAAATTACTGCTCCAGTGAGAAATTCTCCAAGAAGATGTTTTTAGCATGTAATTAAAGAAGACAGGTAGCAACAAAAGAATTTTTGGCGTGTATGTGCTGCTGAGGAGCACCACTAAGGTCTTTAATTTGTTTGTCTCCCCCTGTGCGTACTTTCCACGTTTCTAATGGATACAGAGCTCCTCTCAGTGGCCGCTGAGCAAAAAAGTCCTTCAGCAAAACGCCTTGCTCACTGCCAGCAGTTCTGTCCCCAGTCACGGCATGCTGACACCATCTCACAAGTGTCTGACCTCTCATTTTTCTGACATACACTTGCATGCAGACGTAAACAGCCGTTGCTATTCAGATTTATTCTCTCTCTCTCTGAAGTAGGCCCTAAATTATACTGTTTGTGCTGTTCTAATGGCTTTGTGCAGGTCGTTTCACTTCCCTGCTTGATTTTACAAGCAAAACAATGGCAATAACGAGAGGAGTGATAAGAGGGTTGAGTCTTGTTTTTAAAGTTCTTCATCTGTGGGAAGATTTTTCTAGCGCTAATTTCTCATCAGTGGCTAAATGTAGCCTAGATTTTTTTTTTGTCATTTCAGTGTAATTCATGTTGGTTCTGGCAAGACAAATGGCATCAGCAGAGAATGCCCTAACACGGTAGTACAATTTTCCTCAGCAGTTCTGTAACTCGGTTGTTCAGACCACACTGAAATACATATTTGAGTTAGTACCAATATTGTACATTATCTAAGAATAGTAATTATGTGGCTGTACTGTTTTATACCTACACTAACAGTAGCTATGTTTCAAAATTAATAGCTATGAGGCAAAGATCAGACTAAATGAGAATTGTTACATGGAAAATAGTGAAAGAACAAATGAAATTTCATCAAAATTCTAGCAGCTGGTCTTACGGCCAATGCTAATCAGCATTACTCACTGTGCAGTCCATATTGACTACTCAGTGGCAGTGCCAATTTGGATGTGGGATAGCGTATTAAAAATAAGTGTCCTGTATTTCAAAGGCTGCAAAATCATAATCAGATTTTCCTTTTATGATTAATTTCTAAAAAAACACAACAAAAAATGTTTTAGGAGAAAGTGCACGTCTTTCATTAGTAACCAAATGACTTCTCAGTGTTGAGCTCTCAGTCATCTTTCTTATGCAAAGGAATGAAGATTAAAGTACTGCAGTGTTGGCAGTGTTAATTCATGAATGCCAAAAATTACAAATCTGATAAAGCCATATTTTGATGTGCTTCACAGCCATTTTACCAGGTCGTCACAGGAATTGTATTTTTGGAAGAGTTAGAGTCATAGAATTGTTGGTGCTGGAAAAGACCTTTAGGATCATCAAGTGGAGCTGTAAGCCTGCGGCCGCTGAGTTCCTCAGTAACCTGTGTCCCCCAGCACCACATCCACCGGGCTTTTAAATCCCCCCGAGGGTGGGGACTCCACCACTGCCCCGGGCAGCCTGTTCAGTGCTTGACAACTCTGTTGGTGAAGAAATTTTTGCCAGTGCCCAACCTAAAGCTCCTCTGGCACCACTTGAAGCCATTTCCTCTCATCCCATCACTTTACTTGGGAGGAGAGACCAACCCCCCCCGCCTCGCTACCCCCTCCCATCGGGGCGATGCAGAGAGCAAGAAGGTGTCCAGCTGAAGAACCCCAGTTTTCTCCACTGCCTCTCATAAGAGTTGTTCTCTAGATGCTTCACCAGCTTCATTGCTGTTCTAAGAGCTCCTCTCCAGAAATATATCTGTAACTTGACTGGTTATTCACTAGATGTCTCTGTGCTCCTGAATTTAGTAGGTTACTGTTGAAACCAAATAGTAATTACAATTGAGACAGATAATCTTTTTTTGCTGTTATTGAAAATATTTCAGATACCATTTAAAAATCATTTTAATTTAAATAAGTTTTCAATAGTCTTTAGTCATGCAAGCTTTTGCACTTCTACTTGCATTTCAGTCACTTACTTGCATTGAATTAGTGTTGATCTTTTTATCAATACAAATAAATATACAAATGCATTAAAAACCAGAACTAGTCAGTTATAACAAAAATCAAAATATTTACATGGTAGAATACGGCAGATAATTAATGCTATTTATAGGTAGTTCATGGATTTTTAAGTAGTAGTTTTGTCACCTGTTTTGTCATAGATCAGTATCTGCTTGCAGTTTCTCTTATTCCATTTTTATTCTGAATTCTGGGGAATTGAGTTTGAAATTGTTGCAGGGGGAGAATGTGTGGTTTTCTTTGTAGGAAAAATCAGGCTGCACTTCCTACATATGTTTCAGATCTCCGGTCAAGCTGAAAGTGGGTTTTGCATCCCTGTCAGTTAGAGATTTCATACGCCCTTGTACGACTCGGTTCTGCTTTGAAAACCATCTCCCTGTCAATCTGTGGAAGGGGCAAGGAAGTTATTAGGTTATGAGCAGCCAGATTTGCTGTTTCCTTTTCAGGGGATCAAGAGCTTGAACGCCTGTGCAGTTGAACATCCCTGTGTTCATGGATTTTCCCTGTTTGTAACTTTTCTTAGGAATGAAATCTACATCGCTCCTTCCGGAGTGCAAAAGGAAAGAATACAGGTATGTCAAACTGTACGTTCACCTCAGAGAAAAGTACCTTTGGTTAGAGTTTCATTTGTCTTTATGTAGAGTTAGAAACTTTTTCTCCTGTGACTGCCTTATTGAAACAACTGAGGATTTCGCCTGGTTCCGCACTAGCCTGGCAAGCCAACGTGTTTCGGTAGCCAGCGTGGATCACTCCTGATGATCTCTGTCATTTACATTAACACAGAGGACTGTGAGATTTGAGCATCACTCAAATCTACCTTTATTCTTTGTCAAGCTTGAATGACTTTATAGCTGTCTGGCTACAGTTCCAAGTTACTGTGGCACATACGTAATTAAGCACTAACAACTCTGTTTATTTTCATCTGAATTATTACAAATCTTTGTCTTGATACTCTCAGTAAATAAATTGGCTATCCCCATGAAAAGATGACCTTGTCCATCTATCTCTTTTCCAAAAAAAGCCCCAAAATGCAAGTGAAGGGGAGAATGGTGAGTGCTAACTATATTATGACAGCAGGAACTCCCCGAAAATAGAACAGTATGTGGAAAGGATTTGTTGTTTTGTAGATCTGAGGGTAAGTACAACGAGAGGCGAAACGAATCTCTTTGTTGATAGAAACTTGGGGTTTCACAGCAGTGCTTGTTGGGCATTTTAGCAAGTAAGGCAGGTACAGGCATAACATGGCAGGACTGTTAACAGTCTGTTCTTTGCCAGCAGTACCAGTGGACTGAGTGCAGTGACCAAGGAGATCTCTTGCAACTGTATTTCCTGCAGATTTTTAAAATGGCGTTAAAGAAGAAAGTTTTACTGCTGCTCTGAACAATTCTTTCTTGTACTGTTATGAGTAGCTGGTTGATGCAAAGGTAACATTCATGTAAAGCTACTAAAAGCAAGGTTAAAGAAGTAGTTCTACAAGTTAAATATATTATCTGTAGGTTTAACTCATAACCATTGTTGGTTCTCTCAGTGGAGGAAGGAAAAGTACATCCTAATTTCTTTTTTGAATCAGTGACTACTTTTCCTTTTGATCTATTGTCTGTTATTTAGATACAGGCTGTCTCCTTTCTGAGAAACATGTAGTTTTACAAATATCTGCTCGGCCGCAATCTGAATAAAAAGAATACCTAATATTAATTCACATTGCACAACATCAGTAAATAGTATTGGAAGCTAGAGTAAATGAAAAATTTATTCGCTGAAAGGGCTGTCAAGCGCTGAACAGGCTGCCCAGGGCAGTGGTGGAGTCCCCCTGCCTGGAGAGATTTAAAAGCCACATAGCTGAGGTACTTGGGGACAGGGGTTAGTGGTGGGTCTGGCGGTGCTGGATTAATGGTTGGACTCGATGATCTTAAAGGTCTTTTCCAACTGAAACAATTCTGTGATTCTGTGGAGTGTTACAGCACTTCTGCAAAGCTAAAATCACATTCTCTAGTAGATGTATGGTGCATATATTTGTCTCTCTAGAAGAAAAGCAAAACTGTTTGGGTCGTCACAGGTCAAAATAATTTCTTCTTTCTTACAGCCAGAAGATATGTTTGTTTGTGACATGAACCAACAGGACATCAGTGGTCCTCCACCGCACAAGAAACTGAAGAAAAGCCAGTGTACACCTCTGTTCATGAATGCCTACACTATGAGAGGTGCGGAGTTCAATGTTTTTAGTTCAGTGGTGACTGATCTAAAACATAAGCAGAATTAATATTCAATAGCATGTTCTTTATACATGGAAGTTACAGTGAAATAAACACAAAACTATAAAGTCAGTTGATGTGCAGAGGAATACGTGCAAGGGAAGGTAACACGCAATGTCATCTACAATTTAATCTTCTCGTGTCGCTATACCTCTGGTGATCTTTTGGGCACTTATTTTAGTGCAGTGTGTTAGAAGCTGGCGGGAAGAGCTGGGGGGGTTACAGCAGCTTCATACTAGTAGTTTTGCCTAGAACTACAGTTTATTTCATTTTATAACCATTGGCTGTGATCAAAGGTTCTAAATTACAAACAGGTAAAAAAAGTGCGAAACTTTTCTTTTGCAGGTGGACAGTAATAGAGAGCTTTTGCCATAGAGTGAGATCAACATCCGTTACCTTAGAAAGGATTTAGGGATCTTCCTGTGCAAGAAGCTTGCATGGGTACCCGAGGAAAACTCATGTCATATTTCTGACAATGTTGCAACTTTATAAGTAAATTATAATTGCTGTCTACCTATCTTTCCATCACGATACAATAAGATAATAAGTATTTTTTCAAAGAATCAGTGGATAATCAAAGAGTACGACTTCTTTGATTATATATACATTTTTTAATTTTCGTATATATTTTATATATATATAAAAAGAAAGTAAAAGTCGGTAAACTTTCGTCTCACAAATCAGTTTGGGAATTCTTCAGAATCTCAGAACTCTGATAGAATCAATGGAGTGTTTAGGTCATCACAGTAGGAAAAGAAATGTATAATTAGCGTTTCTCCTTGAATTTGTGCCAGTAGTTTTTCTCCTGGAATTTGTCATTATACTAGAAGTTAACACTAGTGTCCTAAGACAACCCATAATTATCCTTTCCAGAAGCGTAATTTTCATGCCTATATTTTGGTTACTGTGTGTAACTTCCTCTAATACAGTAGATCATCATTTACTGAGGTGCCTGGAGAAAAGAAACGAATCAGGTACTGTGAATAAAATTCTTAATAGTCAAATTAGTTCTAAAAATACTTTTTTTTTTTCCTTCTTCTTTTTCTGCTCTTAGGGGCAGGCGCAGTGATCCATACTCATTCCAAGGCTGCTGTTATGGCTACCCTTTTGTACCCAGGGAGTGAGTTCAGTATCACCCATCAGGAGATGATAAAAGGAATCCAGAAGTGTACTTCAGGAGGCTATTACCGGTATTTCTCTATATGTAGGAAAAGAGGCACGCTATTTGATCATTTGTTTTCAGCACTATAAATAGAGGACAAGTAACTTTAGTGTGTAATACAAAGTACCAGGAATGAGAAGTAGAAAGACCTGGAATAAATCAGTCATTGGCTTTCCATAAGAAGGTCCCAAGTCTGTGGAGGCGATCTGAGATAAAATCTTGCGATGTCAAGGCTACCATGGTCTGTTGAGGTATAGAAATAAACCAAGAGCTATGTCCTGACAGATCTCCCAAGAACAGGGATGTTAACACATCTGTACAATGCTACCCTGGAGCTGGAGCCAACCAGCATTAGGTTAGGGTGATAACATACAAACTGTGTTTGGGTGGACTTCACATATCACAATTCGTGCTAGCTTAGGGCATGTTAACAGAGGATCTCAGATTTTACTTGACAGACTTTGAAAGAAAATTCAGAATAAACAGCTCATTAAAGATAATGTTATTACTGTTCAAGGATGGGCTCTGAGGTAAGTGCTGAGTTATTCCAAATTATGTGTGATGGCTTGTTTTGAGGGCTCCACCCACAGGGTGTTGAATTGGGATCCGCAAACAACTTTTATATAATATGTGACAATTAGGTGAAAAATTGAAATGCTAAATTCTTTCCACTTTTTGACGTTAATTTTTGTAACAAGGGAGCAAGCCATGTGTCTGGTGTGTGATTTTAGACCTGGGCATATTTTATTCAGTTTTGGTTCACTTGCCAGTTTTACTTTCTCGTCAACATTAGCATGTATTGGGTATTTTATGTGGCAAAAGACACTCCTTATATTGAATTGTCTAACAACACTGGTTTTAAAAAAAAAATCCACAACTGTTTTCTTTTTTGAATATGCATTTTGAATTCTGAAGCATTCCTAAATGTTAGTCAGGAGACATTGTATTTATTGGGTTCCATATCTCCAACTTCTCCCACATCATCTTGTTAATTTACCAGAAAAAGTAAAGAAATCGAACCTTCAGGTTGCATGATTCCTACATACATGTTCATCTGTACTAGACTGATTCCACTGTCTTGCCTCACACAAGGCTCCCCGCTGAACTCAAAAGAAATTCAATAGTACAGAATGGGATCTTTCAAAAAAAGAGATTGACAGTATATTGTTTTTAATTACCTAACGTTTTCTGAAAGCTACAAATAGGATAGTCATACATTTTTGTTGGCCTAAATACGATCCCAGTGATCCCAGAGTAGTTTTGCCTTTGCCCTCAGGAGAAGGATAACTAGATCTGTAGTAAATAGCTTTCAAAGTCTCAGACTGTCCCAAGATCTTTATACGAAGGCTTGGCTACATTTTAATAAAACTAAAGAGATAAACTAATTCACTCCTTCAGAGTCTTCTTGGGGTTTTACACATACTAGTTCTTGATTAAAAGCTTATGACTGGGAATCAGTGATGGTATTTATACCTGCTTCCACACTCCAAGTAGAAATTAGAACCGAGGAAACGAATTCCTTAGTTCATTTGGCCGCACTAGGGGCAAGCTCTCCAAATCCAGTTTTAACGATCAGAATATGCGAGAAACTAACCTTACAAAACCCACTTAGTTTTCTTCATTTGCTATTTTACAGCTTTCTGTGGAAAAGCATCAGCATTGAAAGCTGTAAGGGATGAGACTTTTTAATTTGCTGAATGCCTGATTTGGAGCGCAAGCTGTACTGTTTTTACCCTTGCTTTCTCTCTTTGTTTTATGAAAGTACTACTCGCATCCACTCCTGAAATACCTATGTGATCTCAATGATAAATCTGAACCTGAACTGCGGACTTATTAAATCTATTTAAACAAGTTTCTGCCAGTGTTAATTAAGGTTCAGACAATGCCAAATATCCCAGTCCTCCTTCAGAAGAAACTCTTAGGCAAGTTCCACTGAGTAACATGCATCATCTTGTCTTTGGAACTGGGGTTCTCAGGGTTTCTTAAGATCACATATAGCCCACCAATGACTCCATCACAGAGAATTTATTTTTCATGTGTTGACTCTACCTTCTATTTATATGCCTTAGCAGGACAATCTTATTTCCAGGGGCTTTTTGGACTACCTAAATTAATTTTTTTTTCAGCTCTTCAGCAAACAGTTTTATTTCCTTCTTCATGATGTGATTCTTTTAAATAATTTAGTCTGAGATAAAGCTTGTAGATGATGCCAATAAAGGATGAAGAGAATCTGAAAGAGTTCTAAAGGGACCCAACTACAAAGTGATATGTGAACAAACAGCTACACCTAATACATTAAAGTGTTCTTTTTGTGCCTCAAGAGTAGCTCAGGTGTTGCCTGCATAACATACGTCTGGGTGTGAGATGTTCCTGCGAGTTCCTGTGTCGCAGCATCAGTCAAGAGAAGAGTGTAAAATCACTTATGTTGAGAACTTGTGAACATCTTTTCGTAGTCTCTTTCCTAGGAAAAGCTTCATACATCCAAACACAGCGTTGTTTAAAATATGTTCGTTTTTCTTTTAGATATGATGATACCCTAGTGGTTCCCATTATTGAGAACACACCAGAAGAGAAGGATCTCAAGGAAAGAATGGCGCGTGCCATGGAAAAGTACCCGGACTCGTGTGCTGTATTGGTCAGACGTCACGGAGTTTATGTGTGGGGAGAAACGTGGGAAAAAGCCAAAACAATGTGAGTACAATTTAGTAATAGTGTATCTTTTGCCATTTTACCTGAAAGACTTCATGACCTTGATGTTGGGTGTTTTTTCCTACCCGTGAGCGGTCATTCAGGACATTAAGTTCTGGCATCACTAAACCTATAGGGAGCTTTTGGGAAGGGGTTCATCCATGATTCCACTGCTTGGATTTCCTTTCCTATCATTGCTGGCTGATAGAGTCAGCATTTTCCTTTCATATGGACAAGTCCCTTCTCATACAAAACCTGCAGGCAGTCTCTGCTTTTATATGACACCTGACAATACCTTTGGTGTCGTCTTCTCTAGTCCCGTTTTTGGAATTTACTTCTTCATTTGCTGAAGGGAATGCACGTGTCGGGATCGTGTAGCGAAAAATGCTGGGCACGTTACATACTGCCGTAATGGGAACAAATATGTCCAGTCAGACCATCACATTGGTGATGTAAAGCTCGAGGAAGAAAACTACCGATTTTCATAAAATATGCTAAAACTTGAACCTTAACGTTTCACTTTTTTTTTTTCCCCCTTTTAATTTTAGGTGTGAGTGTTATGATTACCTGTTTGATATTGCAGTGCAGATGAAGCAGCATGGCCTAGATCCTTCAAAACATCCAGCAGGAGAAAACGGGATTCTGTAAATGACAACATTTATATTCAGGTGGGAATTTATCTGTAGAGATGATCTGTTTTGGGGGAGAGGCCACAGATGACACCACCACTTCCGTCTGCTTTCCCACTCAGGAAACTCAGTGTTGCCCATCTCCCCTGCTCTGCTCCATTATCTCTGCAATTTTTATCTATGCCTGAATAATGCTCCCTTAGCACACAACGTAACAAAAAGATACATCTTAATAATTAAATATGTCCTGCACATATTTTAGCACCATGTGTAGCATGGAATGCAATTGCTTTTTAGAACTAAATTGTATTAAGCAGAAAAAAAAAAATGGAGAAAAAAGAGCCCAGCCTAGTAAGCTCATCTATATAGAGATACCTGAACACCCAATTTTGTTCTTCAGCTTGCAATATCAGGTTTGATTTCTGTCCGTATCAGGGGTATTACTTACATGGTTGGATGAGATTTTTTTGTTTCCTTCAGCAGAAATAGCTGGTTGCAATTTGCTTAAGTTTCGTTGATTAGTGTCACCCGTTTACCTCATACAGCAAATTACCTTAGCTTTCTGTTTTCTAATGTGGCAACCATCAAGGTCTGGAAAGCTTTCATAACAAATATTTTAAAGTAAAAGCACATAGATAGTATGATCAGGCAGCACTTTACATGAAGGATCCCTGAAACATTTCTCAGGTAAGCAATACACAGCTCAGTACAGCAAAGCACAGGACTAGCATCACGTTTCAGAGTCTGGGACTCTTCTTCCTGAAAATCTAAGCAAGTTTAAAGATACCAGTACTGAGATTATGGTGGACTTGCTAGGCCAGAGCGGTGGTCTCATTAAACAGGATGGGCTCTGAGAACCATTCCAAAATTGCTCCTCAGCTCCAGTAATTGAATAGGTTGGGCTAACATAGTGGCATTAATATTCCTGTTCCAGTTCCTTATGACTAAATCTCTAGCTTTAGAATATTTTCACTTTTATCTCATTTCTCCTCTACAGGTCTCTTACATGATAATGGGAACTCCAGGTTGCACCTCATGCTGTTAAAACCAGAAGGGTGTGCTGTTATACTCAGCTGATGCACAGGTGTTAGCAGTTAGTGCGACTGTTAAACACATCCAAGAAGGAAAGGGCAGTTAAGACAGAACAAAACAAAGCTGAACAATCATTGCTATTTATGATTCCTGTCAAATGATATGGTAGGAGGAATGAAAATTCAAATGCAAAAAAAAAAGAAAATCAAAAAAAGCTGTGGAGAACTAATGTGACATTTTGTTTGCATGCTTTGAAATTTCATATTTCAGCAACCTGCATTTGTTGATCAGCAACCTGCATGTGTTGATCCTGCTCTACTGCTACATCATTTAACTTGTTCTAGGTCTCCATTTCTGAAAGTTGTAATAGCCTTTATTCTTGGGGGAAGAACGTGAGGACCACACTTTAATTAGAAGTTGGGTATAAAGTTTAAAGCATTGTTTGAACTATTGGTTGTTTCATGCCATGATAATAAAATTAAGTCTGTAGCATATATATTTTTAAATTCTCTTAATTGTCATTGTAATGAGTCGAAAACAGTTTTGTAGCATGCATCTGGAAGTTGTTACTGAGAGACTACTCTGCAGCTTGTCTGGTTTTTACATTTTTAAATTCATTCACTTGCAATAAGATTCTGTTTATCACAACTTCAAAGCAGCTTTTTGCGACCTTCGATTAGGCAGCCTAAGGTAGATTTAATCAAACTCCTTATTAAAATATGGTTTCATATATTTCTGTATCTTAGTATCTTCTTTGAAAATCTCCTGGAGTTGCCCCCCAGTGGCATCAGTCTAAGCCTTGACTGACAAGCCTTTTGGTTGGGGATTGAGACTCTAGTCCCAAGGGTGAACTGGGCCAGGGGAAGCACCACAGAATCACAGAATCATCCAGGTTGGAAAAGACCCTGGGGATCATCGAGTCCAACCATTAACCCTACTTGCCGTATCACGCAACTCCACATCCAAGCAATGCGTAAACACCAGTTGGCCTTGTTTCCTGCTAGGGGCCACGCGCTGCCATCGCTTCCCCTAACACCGTTGACTTCATTTCTGAACTCCCTTACTGAGCACTGGGGCTACCTGATTAATTAAAATTTGTCAAGAGTCGTGGTGCTCTGCTGACAGACTGGCAGGTGTCACTAAGATCAGTGTCCTCTGACAACTCGAGCAGATTTGTCCTTCCCTGCAGTGTGCAACCTTTAAACATAAGGGGGGAGGGTGACCTTAATTATTGTGAAATAGTGGTTCTTGCTAAGTGACTGCAGGTTGCTGATGGTATCTTTATCAAGACATTTTTTCATTAGTAGACACTTCATCACGGACAGATATTTTGCAGTGACTCTACATGTAGTGAGCCTATGTAGATGGCAGTGAGAACTTGGGTGAAAAATGTTACTTTTTAGATCAGAGAGTGCCTTTGCACTGGCTGCATACTTCTCTGCACTATGGAACCACAACACACATCTCTAAGTATTTTCAGAATTTCAGAAGCACGACTGACACGAAGGGAAAGCAGATTGCATTGCCCTTAGCAATGCTAACCAAAATACTTCTTCGTGTGACAGTCCACTTAATCTTGAAATCAAGTTGCTGTCTATTGATTGCGTGTCAGTCCATGACTGTTTTGTAAGCTTCATGATTTTACACTTGGTGGTGTTTTGTTCTGCATGCATAATGACAAGCCACAGAAGAACACTCGGAAGGAAAGGTGTTTTTTTTCCAAATGTATTAATCTGGGATTGTGTTAGTTACAAGTATTCACTTCCTTGTCCAGCTACAATTTGCCACCCTGTAGCCTTTCTAAAATCTGTGTAGTTAGGTTCTTTCACATCGGATTCCAAGATGCTCAGAGTCCCTTTCAGTGGTGTGGGAAGGAGCTACATTATGCTCTTCTCACGTCCCTTTGTGTGTGGACTCCCAACAAAGAAATCAGCGACTTCACGGCTTTGATGGCTTCATAGACCTCTGAAATGATTACTTTTTCCCCAAAGTGTTTAGAAGGCTCTTTTAGTTCAGCTCCAGTTATGTAGAACAGAAATACAGAAATTTCCCATGTGATTTAAAGCTTCTAAACTCCTGTAATTTTTCTGGTGTGAACTGTAGGCTAATAAGCCAGGTAGATATTTTTATTCGTTTGCAGCAAAGACTTGATCTCCATCGAAGCCGATTATCTAGGTTTACTATCACCAGATAGGCTTATGTAAAAATGACATAATTCCCGTTTCAGGTGGGTCATCCAAAAAACTAATTAAGTTCCAGCATTTCCCAATAAAAGTAATTTCCTAGCAAACATCCTACTTGCTTTCCAAGAAGGAAATAAAATTGCAGAATGCAGCATCTGGAAACATTAAGAGATAGAGCTTTAACTTGCAGTAAGCAGTTATAATGCCAATATAGGTCCACTAGTGAATGCTGTAATGCCTGAACCACCATCCTATTTCCTTTAACTCTGAAATCTCCATTTAAGAATCAACATGAAAAAAGCCCACTGACTGGCATAACAATATAAATTAAACAGTAGCCCTGCTCTGAATTTTTTTTTACTGCACTTTTTAGCAAATACGCCTGTAACAATGTTTTGCCAGCGTGTAAATTGTTAAAAAAAGCCCAGCTGGAGCACTTTAGATGGCTTCCTTTTGGATCAAGGAAGAGAAGAAAATATGTAGCTTGATATTAATGCTTTTTAATTGCAAAATTATTTAAAAATCCAATATCAAAAAGCTGATATAAATTCAGGTATCCCTACTGAAGGGAGTTACGAGTCGTACTCTGCGGACTCGTAAGCAGTAAAGAAATCAGGAGAATGCTTCGTTTTTGAAGCCACTTTGGATTTGTAGTTCTGTTTTAAGGTGAGGTGAACCTGTGCACACTTGGCTTTTGTTTTCTTTCCCTGCGTGTAAAGTGAAATAAAGGTTGTGCCTTACTGCCCCAGCCTGTGTCCGAGGAGAGCGCTCTGAGCCGAGGTTGACTTCTGCAAGAGAATACAGCGGTGCCTGTGGCTGTGCTTTGCTCCCAGCTAATCGAAACATTCACAGAAGTCGCTGCATCTCTACGTTTGGTTTAATTTTAAGTCAGCTTAATCTTAAAAGCTTAGTGTTGCTCCAGGAGAATGCTACCTGACATGATTTTTAAAAGAGCAAATTTCTAAGTCCCTGAGTCTGAAAAATAGCTCTCGGGTATTTATCCTGATACAACCCAAGGGTTGACTACGTAAATCAGATGGTAAATAATATCTTACTATTTTCTGGTTGGCGTCATTAGCACAGGGATCCGATCCGAGCCTGTTAAATGTGGATGCTGGTGCTTCAGCATATTGAGTGCACCGTGCAAAGTTATTTTGTACATGATACCTCTAGTGGAACTGCAACAGTCGGCTATTCCTCAGGATTTTAATCTATTTAAAATAAAATCAATTCAAAATAGTAATTTTTCAAATTTTTCTGTATGTCTTCAGACTTAAATCTAGCGTCTGCTATATTTTCCTGGTGCAGGCACAAAAAAACCCCTAGTGACCAGCTAATGCTCAACACCAGAAATGACTGAGCGTGTTTGACTGGATGGGATTTAATGGGGAATCATGGGAATTCATATTGCCTTAATATCATTTGCAAACACCCACTCTCCCTGTACTTACATATGTGTGGGGAGTTTTTTTGCTCTAAGATACTGTACTATTATACAAGCAAGTTTCTGCCATCTATGACAGATAAAATTACAGAGTTTAATCTCCAGAAACCAGATCAACAAGAATTTATTTAAATAGTTAAACATAAATTCTCGCTCCTTAATGAGCCCTAGACTAGCTCCGATTTCTCTAATGGTAATTTCTGGTAATTACAAACATAATACACTGGATATAGAAGAAAGAATAGGTCTTACGTTTAAAGCAAAGAGCTGGAAGTCTAGATTTTGTGGCTGATTCGAGTGTTACCTTAAGGTCATGCCTTGAACAGTTCACTTTGATGGGAGTTTCAAAAGAGCTTGAATGAATCAGATACTACCCTGAATCCCATTGGAAAGTTGGGTGCTTAATTTCATCAGACTCCCCTGTAACTCCAAAGGTTCTGCTGGTTCAATCAGGGGGGTAAAAAGGGATGAGGGGTGAGGGGCACCTCGAGTACTGGCTGCCCACTCGTCACCAGCACACACCAGACTGACATCTGATGCTTGATTGGCAATTCTTTCCTAAAAAGGAAGGTGACCTTTCGTACTGGAAACGCTTAGTTTAAGAAAAAGGTTACCTAAGATAGTTTCACCCAGCAGAGATTTACACAACTGAGACATCAAGAACTGAGCTTTCCTACTTACTCAGAGATGTACATTAATGCTGCAAGAGTTAACACAACACCATTTTTGTGACTACAAAGGATACCGGCTGTCTGTGTTTCCAGATGAAACATCTGACTCCCGTTCTTAAGTGTCTGTTCTCCTGACAAGGCAGGTTTACCCTCGCGGTCCCCATTCTGGTGCAGTTCCTGAAAACAACATCGCTGCCATAAATGCGAGTGCGTCTGTGTGCCTGAACGATGGTGGCAGATTACCTGGGCTCGGCAGGTTGCCGTGCATTTAGCACTACATTCCTTTTGTCTCAGTGCTATGTTTCATTGGGGTTTCATCTTGCTTTCCTGTAAGATTTTCTTTTCTCCCTCCCCTGTTTTCCTTACGATCTTTGAAACCAAACGCAGACTTAATGCATTCTGGTTGAACTTTCAAACCCAGAAATATTTTGGTGTTAGCAAACTTATCTCTTTCCTGATTCATCTGCTACATCCCTGACATATCTGAGCATGTTCAGTCATTTGCATGTTTGCAAAATTTTGGTACTTAAAGAGTTAATGTGCCTTTTTTACCTCAGACACACTGAAGATTTTGCAAGCAAATGTCTGTTGGTTGCAAGAGCATATGAGCAAGTATGAGACTAATTTCCTGTTAAGGAGTCGCTACATTAAAAGGATATTTGCATAATCATAGACTGAGATAATATAGGGAAAACCCCAGAGATCATTCTGCTGCCAGGATTAAGCCAAGCC